TAACAAAAAGTTTAGGAATCTTTTGTTTAAATGAAAATTTTATTAAGATTCACCATCATATTTTGAATGAATAAATATTAGATTAAAGTTTCCTTAATTAAGGCTTAAAGGATGTATGTTTGTGCATATATCTAGTGCTAGCCATGTTTAATTTTTGGGCCATGATAGGCTTCATCAAAAGTGATGGATTCGGCAAATATCTTGGATCGATAGATGCTAGGGGATGTAATAGAAAGAAAAGTTGCAAGTTTCTAATCCAGTAGTGACACTACTGTCGAATAGCATCAAAATTAATAAAAATTAAATTTTGTAGTAAAGCGCAACCTAGGTTGTCTCTCTATGAGTCAATAGATTAACTATTTGATTTAAAATTATGAAAAGCTAAGTAATGGGGGGATTTTTTTGTGTGATGAAATTAATTTAAAAAACTAAATTAAAATTAAATAAATAAAAATGAGTTCAACTACGAAAAATTACCAAACACAAGCAACGCAATCAATCACAACCCAATCACCTAAATTCAATCTTCCTCGTCTACCAAATACATTAATTTTATTTAACTTTATTATTCTATTTTATTATATATTTCTCAAATTATCATTCAAGAATTAAATAAGAAATTAAATTATAGATTAATTGAAATCTCCCTTAACCCACAACCTAACAACTGTTCTAAGTTAACTACATCAGAAACAAAGCATGGATAATTATCTAAGCTAGACAAATTACTCTTAAGATGATATACCTTAGATAAAATTCATAATCAAAAAATCTTGCAATAAAGCTACTCTAATCAGCAATAATAATTAAAGCATAAAATTCAAAGGTAGAGAGAGGAAGAGTAAATTAGAATACAGCTAAAATAAAATCTTCTTTGAATATCAAAGATTCTAATTAAAATTTAAGATCATGGTTTGTAATTGATCACACCAACAATTTAGCTCTCCATAAAACTAAAAACCAAACAACATAAGATGAGAAATTGAGAAGCCATCACCCAAGAAATTATTATTTCTTAAAAAAAAAAGTTTGTCGCCACCAAAAAGACTTTTAGCGGTGACATTTGTCACCTCTAAAAAGACTTTTAGTGGTAAAAAAACTTTTGACGGTGACAAATGTCGCCACCAAAAGTCTACTTTATTTTGTCACGGTCAAAAACTATTAGAGACAATTGTTATAGTGACGACCTTTAACAGTCGCTATTAAAAACTTTTAGTGACAACTTTTGGACATTGTCGCCAAAAGTTTGCTTTTTTGTAGTGTAGTGTCATGTGTCAATATATATATAGCTTACTTTTTCAATTTTGTTATGTCTCCAACAAGATTATGATAGCTTAACTAGCCTTCGCCACTTTTTTCCCCAATGATATTTACAATCCTCTAGGACATGCTTGCAGCAAGAGCTTCTTATCCCAAGACCATCATGCCTAGTAGTGGAGATATGGCTTCCCAACTTCATTTTTTTAAAATAAAATGTAGGGGTTATATATTTTTAATCCTTAAAATATTACATACACTGTTTAGTTGATCAATTAAATATAGCTCTTATTGCTGCAAGTAAAAAACTAGTTGATCTACATTCATTCTTTTAAAACTTGAATATGATTGTTAATGCCATATGTTCTTCCTCTAAGTGCAATGATGAATTACAAGATATTTTTGTATTTCAAATTCCCAATAACTTGGTCGAAAATGATGAGATTTAGAGAGGAAGGGATTAAGTTAGCACATTATAGTAGCTTGAAGACACCTGATGATGTTTTCATTTTAATTCTATATATAGCCTTTTATGCAAGTATAGTGCAACTGCTTCAATTCTTGAAAATATAGTTTTCATATGATCTAATTCTTATCAAGGTGATGCTATATATGCTCGTATTAATGTCATGTGATTATAGTTTTATTTTACATTTGATGAATAAAATTATGAGAATTACTAACAAACTTTGTGAAGCAATATTGTAACAAAAATCTCAAAATACCTTGAATGTTATATTTGATATTTACTTCAAAATTATTTATTCAAAAATTAAAAAATTATGATTGAGAATTGTCTTTCAAAAAAATAAAAAATTTCTTATTTTTGTAATAGTCAAGTTGTCGAAATTCTTTATAGGAATTTTTTACTTTGTAATCTTGACCCCTCCTAACTAAAATTTATTCTGCTTAAGTTACATACTGGCGTTACCAACCCAGGAAATACAATAACATTTTAAGTTTTAACTTCTTTAGAATTTTTAAAGGGTATTACGGAAAACAAGTCATTATTATAACTAGAAATTTAAAACAGAAAAAGTACTTAGGAGCAACAATAAAAAAAAATTATGACAACAAAATAGATGGAGAGAAAATATTTTTGAGCGGCGGCTCTGAACATGTGCGTCATCGAAAAGTTGGTGATATCTTTTCCCACTCACGCGATGTCCTTTTCATTCACCACCACCGCACACCTGGAGCGACAAGGTTTCATTGAAAGGGAATCGTGAGAGACAGATTTAGCCCCACAAATTGGAATCCTAACATATCCTCCTCATCCCAAATAATAAGACAATTTAAGACAACTATCCATATCACTAAAGTTGAATAATAACAATTTACAAATTTACTTTTTAAAAAATATAAATTTTTAAAATACCCTTACATACTTAACCATTATATTACAATCATTTCAATCCTGTCTTCATTTGAAGATAATATTAAAAAAATTATTAATAAAATCTTATTTTTATCAGCTTATCTTATATTTTAGGAATGTTGAAATATTAGGAGTGATTAGTGCTAATCACTTAATTGTTGATGATCCTAAAATCTTTAAAAGGCATCATATTCTATTTGAGGTTGGGGGGGTTAAGCCCTATCTCATGAGAGAAGTTAACAAATGACCTCATCTCATGTTTCACCTCAAAGTGGTTTTCGGATTTGGTTGAGGGATTATATTGTTCTCACTTTCAATCATAATATTCACGATGTTGTTCATCTTGTTTTATTTTATTCAATTTTGTAGCTCAACAAAAATAATAAAATACCTCCAAAGTTGTATTATAATTCGAAACTGAGGTAGTACATGATCTCTCCTGCAAGTGTAAGGGATTGATATAGTCATAATTTTTGGAGTATTCTAGGAGTCAAACTCAAGGGAAAGCAATAACTTTGTTATTTAATAAAAATAAATAATAGTTTTGAAAGAAGATTTAATATTTAATTAGATAACACAAAATAAAAGCAATGATAAAATGATGAACCAACCAATCAAACAAATGCCAACGATTAAGATTCATGTGGTAGGATGATTTATTCTAATTCAGTTAATTATCTTCTCTTTATTTATAGTGGCAATTATTACTAAGGTAACCCAATTACCTCTCAGTATATTAGGATGCATTTATTTAAGGTTGAATTAGCTCTCGCTAATCTTATTGAGACCTTAAATAAACAATGAAGCTACAATTTAAGCCACCATGTCCTAAATTATCTCTAATTTAGTTATATGTATTTATTTCTTTAGGTCTAGGGTAACTCTTCATATCTCAATTCTTCGAATAGCCCACAAAAAAATTATATACTAGCCACATATATAACAAGGCTATAAAGAAGAAGAGTGTAAATATAAATAAACAAAAATTCATGTTTGACAAGAAAATAAAATAAGAAAATAAAAGAGAAAAATCTATCCCAACTAAGCTACTTCCTACTTTGATTGGGAGTTTAGAAATAACTCATAAACTTTAAACTAAAAATTCCAAATAAAAACATAAACAAAATCTATAGAAGGAGATAATAGAGAAAGATCCCATGGTCGTGCATGGAGATGATATGTTGATGCATGGTCATGCTTCATAGGACTTTGTTCTCACCATGGTATGTTATGTCCATGCATGGAGAAGATACTTCCATGCATGGAGAATATCTGAGTTGAGCTTGTTTATGAATGAAGATGTTCTTTTGGGCCCGATTGTTGGGCATTGAGTCTCGTCTTACATTTTTAGGCTCTTTTTCATGCTATTTTATCCCTTTACCCTGAAAAACCACCAGAAGTGTAAAGTGAGGCCTTTTATCCATATTCATCTTTTTCCATTCATTATTTAATAAATAAATAAAGGGTGGAAAAAGTATATATAAATCTTAGTAAAATATCCACTTATTAGTATATGTATATAAGCTTCATTATGGTATGATTAATTGAGAAATGAAACTTGAAGACAGTTTAGTTGGAAAGAGAGATAATGAAATATATTAAATAAAAAAATAAAAATGATTAAAATGTAAAAAAGAATTAGATCAACCATATTTATGAGATTGAGAATTATAATTTGTGGAGGGTGTGGTGATTTTTGATATTGAGTTTTCCCATGGAAAAATAATACTCCCTCCATTAAAAAATATAAGGCATTCTTAATTGAATCTCACCCTCAATAAAGTAATTATTTATCTTCAAACTAATACTGCCTTTTCATATTTATCTTTATTTAATATAATGTTTCACTCTAAAATAAATATAAAATAATTTATTTATTAAGGAAACTTTTAATTGGAAAAATAAATTAAGGACACTTTTGGAAAAGAGGCAATGATTATACTTTAAAACATAAAAATATTTTATATTTTTGACATCCAATCTTCCAAAAATTATCTTATATTTTTTAATGAAGGGAGTAACTTAATAAATATGTAATCAATTTATTATGCGAAAATAGAAACTTTATTTTTTTTTATTTCTTTAATCCATTTCATTTTCATCCCTCACGAATCACGCGGAGTTCCCAGTTTCAAAAGATTAATCAAGTGCCTTATCTATTTCTGCCCGCCTTTTGTCTTATTTTTCCCAGTCATTTTTATTTTTGACCAATTTATTTTTCCCAAACATGAAGCTGCGTAATTAATCAACTAGCTAATAACTTTAATGTTAATAACAATCGAATACCCAAATTACCCCTCCAAATCATCAAGTGCGTCTATAAATAGTACCCTTCATCTTCTCGTTTCCACACCACCGCATCACACAGAAAAAACCTTACCCTCTCGTAGCCAAATCATCTCAAGCAATGAAGATCACCTTGCTTGCCCTCTTCCTTGTCTTCGCCTTCACCTCAACCCAAGCTGATTTAGTGCTTGACACTGAAGGCAACCCCGTCGGAAATGGCGGCTCATACTACATCCTCCCAGCTCGTCAGGGAAACGGCGGCGGCATGGGTGTCGCCGCTACTGGAAAGGAATCTTGCCCTCTCACCGTTGTCCAGACCACTTCTGAACAATCCAACGGCTTACCCACCAGACTTTCATCTCCATACAGAATCGCATATCTCCCTACAAATTTCATTATGGAGTTCACGGTCATTGCACCTCCAACGTGTGCTGAGAAGCCGGCGACATGGACGATTGTGGGCAGAGAAGATGAGACAAGGGAAGTGAAACTTGTCGGGCACCAAAACATCGTGCGTGCTTCTTTTAAAATTCGGACCTATCATGGTACGACGTATAAGATGGTGTTCTGTCCCAGTGATGAAGAATATTCTTGTGCAGCTCTTGGGATTTCCAAGGATGAGAAAGGAAACAGGCGTTTGGTTATTGATGATGACAACCCTTTCGTTGTTGTGTTTCACAGAGCTGGATCATCGAACTGCTGGATGAAAGAGCGTACTCTATCGAAATGGTGATGAAGCGACAACTTGTTGCAAACAGTTAATATAACTCCTTGCACTTATCAAATAATAAATGAAATAATGCTTCATGTGCCTTCCTTTTCTTCATGTGTATCTGAAGTCTAAAATCAGTAAAATTATACATCTCAACAGGCTTCCTTCTCTCTCTCTCTCTCTCTCTCTATATATATATATATATATTTATATATATATTATTATGCTTAAAGTATTGTTTAACTTGAATAACACAAGTTATTTAAACTGGCATTTCTAAACCACTTGTTGCGACTCCTACAGTTTAGAAAGTATGAAAAATATATTATGTGCTTGAAAAAGCTATCTCGTTTCTGACCTAACTCGAATCCGGGTTAATTTGTCGGCACTATCTGTTTCAGACTTAATGGTTTGAATGGTTTGATAAAAAAGAATTAATACAAAAAAATAATCACAATTATTCTCAGTAGTACCACGAAGAACCTCCCTCTTACCCGGCCCTTTTCTTTTATGATCACAGTCATATCTTTTAACATTTGTTAACAGGCTGCTCCAATTATAGAAATTTTGTAGCGGACAGGTAGGAAAATGAAGCTTGAGTCATACCTAAGGATACTATCTTTAAAAATTATTCCAACACACTGATATGGTAGACCAGCAGTTCCTTAGAATTAAACAAGCTCTTCCTTTAGGTAAAGCAAGGCAATAGAACAACAAGTACTAGCAGGAAATAAACTCAGGCAGATACATGGCACAGAGAAGGTAGAGGAGGAAAGGATTGGCTCGAAAACTCAAGAGCCTGGCACTCTCATTCTGTCTGCAATCATGCCTATTTATAGGCTGAAACCCTATATGAACAGTTGATCAATAATCACTAGATTAATCCTATCACGCCTTGGACCAGTATGGGATATATGTGCAAACATATATTTCTTAAGTCTCAATCAATGAAACTCTAATTTGATATTTTAATCCAATTGAAATGGGATTGGGATTCATTGCAATAATTTTTTTTATTAAAATATTTCTAGACTTTTTGTTAAAAAAAAAAATTTAGCAAAACCTCCCCTCTCAATAAATTCTCCCAAAAACAATTTGACAATCATTTTACAAAACAATAACAATAGCAAAGAACTCTATTCCCACTAGTAGATAACAAAATACAAACAATAGAGGCGAGAACCCTAACTATAGTTTATGTGGGGCACCTGACATAAGAGTTTATAAAATATAATACATAAATTTAAATTTACATTAAAATTGATTTGATCTACCATTCTTCGTTTTAATGGAATACTACAGCCCCATAAGAATTAGCGAAAGATACAACATCAACTAATATACTTGAGACCAAAATAATAATTTTTAATGACTAACGTCCCAACCATAGGATTTTTCACAAGTAAAATGAACAAAATATAATAGTTACATAAATTGAAGAGAAAGCAATTCAAAGTAAACAAATTTGTAAGCATGGAATAAAAGTTCTATATAACTTCAATATCAAGAGACATTAAATTTATAGCAATAAAGCAACTTAACATTTGATCTTGACATGTCAAAATAATTAAATAAATGCATAATTGAAAATAATAACATTTACTAAAAAAAACATTAAGAGTGTGAAATCATCAATTAATTACAAATTCATATTTTTAAAGATTTATCAAAACAATTCATAAATGTGGACACATAGCCCAAGAGGGCAAATAACCAAATGTAGCTTATGCCATAAAGACAAATGCGGATACATAATCCATGAGAGTAAGTAACCAAATGCAACCTGAGCTATAAAATAAATATGACACACAGTCCATAAGGGTAATGCTAACTAAACGTGACTTAAAGCCATGAAAAACAAACACGAGTATGAGATCCATGAATAACAAACGTGATAACAGAGCTTACGAAAATCAAACTAGCTAGTCATTGACCATGGTGTGCCAAGGGCTGAAGGCATTACCGTTAGCAATCAGTGTTCTGCATAAAATTTCCTTCAAATTCATTTTCAAACATGCAAGAAAATCATCATCATTAAAATATAATTTCTATTCTTGAAATCAAACTTGCATGAATAGTTTTTAGGTATCAAAACTTGCCAAAAAAATTTCATATCTAATGCTTGTACTTGCATTTATTGAATAATCAAAAATTGCCAACAATAATAAAAAATGATTTTTGTCAATCTTGAAAATATATCTCATAAGGGGTAAAACATTCATATGCCATGACGTAAATGTTTTTTACCATAGTCTTATAACTTAAAAATGAAGAAATTTACTTAACAAAGTATCCACTAATCAACATAATTATTATTAAAATAATCTATATATAAAAATATAAAATTTCAAAAAAATATTAATTAATAAATTAGTTAGGACATTATCCACTTAAATGGTAAGCTCCCAAAATAATGTTTTGTTCCACCTAATTACCTCTCAATAGCCCTTTTAGCTACACTATTGCCTAGACAAGAGGAACGAACAACTCTCTTAATAATGACTCTACTTTATATATATTGCCACCATATATTCATCAACCCAAACTACTTAATCATTTGAGGTTGCATTTCAATGACTCAACAGATACTTTCCCGTTCAAAAGTGTACGACAAACTTTTAAAGGAAAAAGAAAAAGAAAAAGAAAATAAATAGCTTAACCTTCTAAGTTTTCAACATAGAAATTGAACAACTTAAATCCAAATTCCAGTCGTTAATATACTGAATATACTCAATTTCGCAATTCCAATCAAATTCCTCTTTTACATAATTTGGCAACATTTTATGTGTGTTAAGGTTCATTTATGTTACAAAGCTCCTTTCTCTGCAAATCTCTTCACAATAATTTTCATCAAATAATATATATATATATATATATATATTTTTACAAGCAATATCTCTACCATTTTAAATTTCAACATAAAAATTAAACAAACTAAATTCAAATCTTAGTTCCCTAATACAATGACTGCTTGATTTCTCCATTTCAATTCTTACAAACAATTTGACAAATACCGCATGACATCAATATGTAACTATAACATCAAGCTTCTTACAGAAAGTAGACCACTACTATTACAAATTGTTGAACATTATCAAACATTTTATTTTCATCCAAGAGCTAACAAAAGAACAAACAAATTTGGCTCTTAAATTATTAACCAAATATTATTTATTATTATTACTATTATTATTATTTATTTTAATTTCATTTCCAATCTCTCATTATACAGAATAATTGGCTACTATAATGATTTAACCAACAAGAATATATTTGCCGCATTTATATGCTACCTTAAACAAATTCTCCTATCAAACATTTCTTCAAGCACCTCGTGTGCGTTAAGAATTAAACCATGCAAACTACCCCTTACTTTTAAATCTCTTTCCCAAAACTCTTCCAAACATCTATATAGATTTCCTATTATTCCCTAATTCAAATCTTACTAATTATAAATCCAATTCAAAAAGGAATATCATTCCACTACCTTCACACATAATCAGCATTTTTAAATAGGATATATATATATAGATATATAATTTTAAATTTCAGCAATTCAACACAATCACACATAGAGAGAAACCAGGTGAGAGATTGGAAGAAAGACGTGAGGTTCACTCACCAACAGAGCCTATGACACTTGAAGAGGGAGAAGGTTGAATTTTTTCTCCAATCACACGAGCAAGCATCAATGCCAAAATAGGGGAGAAGTGATCGATGACATGCACAGGGAAGAGTTGAGTAGACCGACACTGATGGAACAAGGGAAGAGGAAGAAATCAATCCTAACGCACCTACATATCTACACAAATGAAAAGGGGAGAAGAGACTTTAAAGATGAGAAGCAAAGGAAGACAAAGAAATCTTGACCTTAATAAAGCAACAGCAGACATGGCTTTCCAAACACCTATGGTACCAATGACATTAAATCAGTGGAGGAAGAAGGAAGATAATGGAAATAGTAGAGGCATTTTGGGTCAGATGCCAAAACTTCTCTCTATGCCTCTAGCAAGTTCGATGGATCATATAAGAGGAAAGGAGAGAAAAAAAATCTAACAAGATGGAGGGCATAATTGTAATTTCATGAGGTTAAAACAAAAATAAAACTCCTCTCTTAAGGCAGATAGATTGCCTTAAATTCTACTAGACCAACACTTGTTTTTAGTATAATTATACCCAAAATATATATAAAATATCATTAAAATAAATAACCATCAGTTTCAATTTTAATTAAATTATAGATCATTACAATATATTTGAATACCTCATAAATTAATTTTATTATTTACATAAAACCTTAGGTCATACAAATCCACCATTAAGGCTCAGTTACACACACATAAAATGCCATCAAACAATTGTCAAGAGTCGTTAGGTAGCTTCTCTTTTTTTCATCTTCATCTCTGTTCTTCAAAATTTCTTAACCAGCACGCGCACACACGCGCGCGCGCGCGCACACACACACACAGAGCTCTAATCAATCCTTTGTCCTTTGCTTGCCTCCGTTATTCCATTTGGTCGCCGATGTGGTTGTCCAGTTTGCTGGGAGTTTGCTATTGCAAGGAATCCATTCAAAATCAATTGACTCTCTCTTTATTCAAGCTTCATCATCAATTCCTTCTCCTCCCTTCCTTATTGGCGTTGTCTAGGTGTGGATGAGTAGAGCTTATTCTTCTTCCTCCTCCTTTGAGCAACAACATCTCCTCATTCCTTTATCACTTTGTTTTTGCTAGTTACTATGCTTCCTTCTCTATTTGTGTGCACTATGAGGTGCTGCCATTGATCTTCTCCTTCATTGTCTTCCCCTAATTCAAGTATTGAAGTTCCTCTCCCTCCTTTGTCCTTACTGTGTTATGGAGTGTATGAGACTTTCTTCTTCATCTTCTAAGTTTGTGCAATTGCCACTTCCTCTTCCTCTTATTTTGGTCATCATGAGCTAAGGTAAGGATCTCTAAATTTCTTCTCTCTACTAGCCTTGTAATGGGATCTAAACAAGCTGAAACATAAGTTATAACAACATAATTTTTGGTAGATAAACTCACTCATGTTGGAGCAGAGGAATTAGATTTAATTTTCTTTAAAGACTAATTGAATTTTTTTTAAGAATTGAAATTGGGTTGGTTGATTGGTTTCAATATCAATATTGTGATTTGCAT